TGGTAAGAGTTTAGTACAACTATCCACCACTGTGACGTAGTGTTGCGCTGCCCGTGCTGCAGCATGGCCTGTTTTTTCTAGTGGGGCCTTGATGAAAAACACAAGTGTTATAGGCTTTTAGTTAAAACCTTGCAGTTTACATGTTAATCTTATGGAAGAATGTTTTATTTTGTTTACCATGCCATGTTTGTCATTTCTTGATTAAATTAAATTATGGAAACAGCTGTTGTAATGATAACCTAATTTTTTAAAACAAATCTATGCATAACAAATGAGAGCTATCAAATAGGTTTCTATTCCATTTGTTTTTTACGAATATTTGTTGTCAAGTGAGCAAGGCAAGTGAGCGCAGCGAACGAGCTCCAACCTAAAGGTGAGTGAGCGTAGCGAACGAACTTCAACCAGGATGTGATTGAGCCATGCGAACGAGCTCATCTTGAAAATGAACGAGCATTTGACATAAAACCACATTAAGACAGGACGCTGGACGACGTCTGTCGGGCCAGCTAGTTAATATATAGATAGATGGCACATCAAAATGAAGCTCAGAGTGTGTAGATTTGCCGAAAAGTATTGGTATGAACAAACTCCCTTAGGGTTCTGCCCCACAGGCCGATTTCCAAATGGCTACGCCTTACATGTTAAGAAGTTAACGTTATTCGACTAATTGATCAAAAACAGCTGTTCAATGAAATTGACAGTAGTTTGTTTATTTAGACTTTTGTTTACGTATATTATTATTTACTTTTTAACATTCAAAGAGGTGCGGTAACTGAACACTGATGCTATTTCTAGCTGTTTGATACAAGTGAGTGTTCTAAGATGTTTTTTTGTAAGACGATGCATTATGAGATTTAAAAAAACATGTCTGTTGGTTGTCCAAGAGGTTGTCACTGATCTTTAACAGGACGTTGTGAAAGAGAGCAGCGAGTTCATGTACAACCACAACCACGTCGGCCACCTCAGGACGTAAGGTATCACCTCAGGACGTAAGGTATGAAGGTCCCACTTGATTTTGTAAGAAATGAACGGCTAGACACGGTGTAAGCCCTTCGGGAGTAGGCCAACTCGACCTAGTTTTGATGAAGTGCGACAAGTGTTCCCAGGCTAGTGTCCGAAGAGTAGAGGAGGTTTTTAGTGGGTAGTCTCTGGGCCTTAAACTTGTTGGAGTCCCACACTACAGGCTAGCCACCTGTGTGCATAAATGCACTTTCCCACCTCTCCCTAAAAAAAAACCAACAACGACTGAGGAGGCACTCAACGGTGTATTTGTGTGAAAAGTAGGGTAACCTTAAAAACACTGCACGTTGATATTGGTGTGACGAAACAACATAAATAGAGAACTTAAGTGTTATTTTTAGTTTTGTGTTTTTTTATTTTGATGTGTATTTATATTTTTATATTTTCTGATGGAACACGAAGGACACGTCTTCATTCAGAATTGGCGGTGGTGTATGTAAAATCGTAATTATTATTTACTAGCTGTTACCCACGGGCTTCACCCCGTTTGACTTCATAAGTAAAATTATTTACCTAACCCGCCATGTTAAACTTCCCTATCCCAAGCGTGATGTATACAACTTCTTTACTTCTCGAGTGATGTAAAGTTGAAAAAAAACTCACTCGGTGAGGTAATGAAACCCATTTAAATAACATTGAGTGCTTAAAATATACTTCTATGGAGCCAACGACGTTCAACGCTAGAAATCAGCTGTTCGCTTGAATTTTATTGTTATGTTTTGAAGAATTTTCCTAACCTAGCTTTTGTTTGTAAATGAACATTACTGTTAGAAGATGAGTGAAATGGATAATGAAAAATATTGTTCGTAACCTCCTGTATATTGTCGGGTCAGGTAAAATCTTGTACGTTACACGTTACGCAAGAGCGTGTACATCACTTAGGTAAATTGTGCAACTCGCTTCCGCTCGTAAAAATCATCAAAAACATCACCTGCATGATGTAAAAACGCCCTTACTACACTTGTAAGGTAAATAGCTATAATAAAATTATTGATTGGTTAAGTTAAGCTGAAATAAACCAAACAGAATACAGTAATACAAACAAATAAGAACAGCTGAGATATTTTTAACATTAGGTATATGGAAAGTTCCCTTTAGAAAGGAATTATGACCTTAAAGGGCAATTTATTAAATAATGGATAGTTTTTCGCAAGGTTTCTCGTCATGACGAACATTTTAAGTATATGGTTTATGGGGGTGTGACTTGTGGTTTTCTCCAAAGTTCATGGGTACTTTTGGCTTTATATATATGGATTTTCTGTACCTATATTGTTTAACACAATTTTAAACGAATAAAACAATTTTTTAAACACAAGGTATGGGACAAAGCGATTTTGTAATAAATAATAGGACAATTTCGTAATAAATACATTTTTGATCAGCATTTACAAGTTATTAAATCTCCGGAATGTAACTAAAATTACGTCTAATAACGAATAACATTCTTCTATTGGGTCTGATGATGATTGGAATGTTCAGTTAAAATCAATCATCACTTACCTTGTGCCAGCCTTAGGCCGGCCGCACACTGATCAAACAAAATGTCTTTCGACAAAACGTTTTGTCGAAAGACGTCGGAAGCGAGTGGCCTACCATGCAGTTAAATGGAGGCATCACACACTGATGAGACAGAGGCTTCAGACGCATTGTTTTGTCTGAAGACGTTTTTGGGTGTTTTTGTGATCGCCTCCAATATTTCGTCTGAAGCCAAAACGCGGTCAGACAAACAGTTCTGCGCATGCGCGGACCGCGGATACAGTACAACCAAAGAGTACAACTTCTCTATATATTGTAATAATTTTTCTTGCAGTAAGTAGTAGTTCATTTTTTATCCATGCAGAAAATAATAGGCCTACAAATGTTATTTCAATTTCAAATATTTCAGCTTATTCCATAGGTTATATTGTGTAATATTACATGTCATTCATTCATCATTAACATTAATTTCTCTACTATTTTGTGTATTTTCTCCCATAATGTCTGTTAATGCCCCTGATAATGTATTATTAGTTATTTAATATGTTTCCCCTTGTTAATGTGTTATTTTATCCAATTTTGTTAAATGTTATATGATATCCCATCACCCCACAGAAACATCATCTTATTTTATGTTACAATATAATATTTATGCCAATTCTCTCCATACCTATCCTGTACTCATTAAAAACCAACAATAATCATTTACTTAGAATAATATATAATTGTAAGAAAATTGCAAAATAGTAATAACATCTTAAATATAGTATCACTTTTCAAAATTATCCAAAGAAAATCAAAATTACTGTGGCAAGTGTCATTTATGTGAATTAACCAGCTGTACATCATTTCAACAATGGACATGGACTTCCTGAGCTTCTACCATTGCCTCTCCCCAGATCCTGCCAACTCTTCACAGTGTGAACATCATTTTATTGGACATTGTGTTTGATTTAAACTAAATTCATAATCCCAAAGTATAATCTAAATTTTAAATTTCTTATCATCTAAAAGTATTCAGTACAAGTGCCTTGAAGAGTATCAAATTTTAACGAACCCCTATTTTATTTACTACATAATGATACAAAGGTGAAGACAGACACTCCAAGTTTGGTAACCATCATCCATCTTGTTTAACTAAGGACAAATTTAATCTTCATTGGACATTTAATTAGCATAGCCTAATAGGCCCAATTAACTTAACTCATCAAGATATACAAATTTCAAACTGAACTTTTATTCAAAATTTAATCTTCAAATTCTATTTTATTTCATTAAATTCAGTGAAACCATTTGGAATCTTTCTTTGGACATTAACATTATTATATTAATAGCATCACGAACCTAGTATTTCAGAATAATAACTAAATTAAATTATTTGCATTTTAAAGAAGCCTAATATATCATTTGAACCGGCACGACCACCCCTCCCAGAGATTAAGAGCTCATATTTAAATATTGATTAGTACTTCAGAAGAAACCAACCCAATATAAGCCTAGAATCTTATCATCCACTTTGGAACCCCCACCATTTTGAAAATTTACCATTGTTAACTTAGACCCTGTAGCTAATTCAACCAATAACTTATCTTGTATTTGTATTTCATTAATAAATTTTATATTGTAACTTACCAAATCTATTTATTCTTAAAATAATTCATATATTATAAGATTAAGATAAAGACTTACCTTATTAGACAGAAATAAAACACAAATTAGGAATTATCTTTATTAAGAAAGAAATGACTTTGAGTTCAATGTGGGCTAACTTAATAGCCAAAGGAATTTTGTAGGCCTAAGTTAATGAAAGTCTATAGAAAGCTTTATGGTGCGTAGCAATTGTAATAATTCTCTTTACAGTTAGTAGTCGTTCATTTTAGATTTATGCAGAAAATACAGAAATTGTATGCTCCCTTCCTTCATTTAGTTCTGTAAGTTGTATAAAGTTCCACAATATAATTGCTACGTCCAATTCCTCACCCATTTTATTAACATCACACAATCTCTGGCTTTTCACACTGGTCCACAGCTGGCTGAATCTAGTTTTCCCTCCTGTTTTTGTCTTTAGTCTGAGACCACCGCACACCAATGCTACATTTTTGTTTCCTGACAAGACGTCTTCCGACAAAATGTTTTGTCAAAAGACGTTTTGTTTGATCAGTGTTCGGCCGGCCTAAGTCTATCAAACACTTTCCAAACAGTTGTTGTCAGGGACAGCAAAACACATCAGGCTCCTTCCTTCTAATAGTAATTGTTAACTTTCACCTACAAGCCATGTCTTTTAAAAATAGAAAATGTATGTATGTTATAATGTGAAGAAATCCATTTGGTATCTGTATAGCTATAGTTACAGACATTAAGATCTGCCTTTGTTTTAAGGGTTATTCTAACATTCCAAATCTATTGGCAGAACATTAATCTAGATTTATAAGACACATGACATGAAATGGATTAAGAAGCACTAAAATTTTACATTGGGCATGAAAGTTATCTATTTATCTTACCCTGAATAGAAGCAGTATGCTGACGTTTGGGAGCAGTACGCTTGTATGTTCTTACAGGAGCCTGCAAAACAAACCACGTTGGTAAAACTAACCTTGTCAACGCACATGCATCATTGTGCAAAGAAATTTGTAAAATAACAGAATCAAGATCATCCCACCAGATATGCCTATTAGGTCTGAATATGATTGGAATGCCCGATCAAAATCAATCAAATCTTGTATGTGATTTGAATGTCTTGTATGTTAATTAAAGTAAAGTATACTGTAGATCAGTATTTAAATAACAATGAATCAATTGTAATAGTATATTTCGTATCTAGGGACAAAAATTAGGTTTTGCTGGCTCGAGATAGTTCGAGACCAAGTCAAGAACTTAAAACAATCGAGAGCTGCAAAACCATTTCAGTCCGTGGTACGAACGCTATTTTTCACCGCACTATACCCTATTACCAATATTCACCACAATAATAATGCACACTAACAGTCAACACAACTACAGTAGACCCCCTCTTAACCGACCTCGTATTAACCGATAATCGGATTATCCGCCTTTGATCGTAAAATAATACAGTTTGTTTTAACCGACCTTGCTTTGAGAGCAGCTCGGTTTAACCGCCGCTTTCTAGGAATCTCGGCATTTCCGCTCCCACGCTGGGCGATGAGAACTGAACTATACGCTTATCTCCACAGGATATGACTAACAATAAGTTATTTTCATTTTGTGTTGATCACAAAAAATATAGCATAGCCTATTGTCAGTTTGTCATCATCGTTCGTAGCTCGAGCACATCTGATCAGATATGTTATCTGTGCGGCAAATTTATAACATCATAAAGTGCGTTACGATTTTGAGAACTGATTATCTCATCGCTGGAGTAAACAAACAATGCAACTTGTAGGGAGGGCAGGGAAGGGGTGTTAACAACTCCAAGGTCAAGATAGTTTTTGTGCCTCGAACCTCCAGTGAGTGGCCATAAATAAACGTCCTGTCTTGTAACAAAATTGTCGCTTGTATCTTTAATGACGACAAAAGGTTCTGTACTGTATTACGATGTATTTGGAAAGCATTAATTAATACACTACAGTAGTAAAGTTATTAAAATAGGAATTTTATTGACTCTTGCCTAGTATTATAATATATTCACTGAAAGTAGGCCTATTTGACTTAACCGTGTTTTGTGTTTATTTGTGACATTTCTATCAATATGAAAAAGGAGATAAGAGTAGTTTATTTTATAAATAATGCAAGTATGACTTCAAAATAATGATTATATAATTCTAAATGAATAGCACTTCATTATGTTATGATTTTAGGGATTGCCCGTTTTATCCGACCTTTTGCATTATCCGACCTAGGTCCGGTCCCATTAGGGTCGGTTAAGAGGGGGTCTACTGTACAACTTTAAGGTTATGTGAAGAAATAATTTGAGGAATCAGCAAAAATAATGATAAATAGTTGCTAGGCAGCGGTGACAAAACACTAGCGTCTCGGGGTCCTGGTCAGAAACCGATGAGAACCTTTTTTCAGTATGATAATTTTTTGTTGGGCATCACTCACCTTATTGAAATCACGAGAACGCAGTCCTTGTCATATCACAATCAACACAGTTCATTGCACATAAAAATATACAAAAATTTAAATAAAACTAAATTTAAAATTTCAGACTTAAGTTCCCAACACCGACGTTTCGCCGCACCAAAATCAACGTGCGGCGTTTTCAAGGTTATTTCTCTTCTCACGCAATCGTTGTGAGCGCCTAACCACGACTGACGTCCCCGGTGGTGGAGGAGGGGGAGGGGAGATTCTGTTATCTAGAACAGCTGATGGCATTATCTTCTTTTGTTTAGATTTTTCTATGCATCCTTTTTTTTCTATGCCAGCCGTTTGGGCGTAAAAAGTATCCTCAGTAGTATTACTTTCAGTTTGAGGATACTTTTTACGCCCAAACGGCTGGCATGGCAATGGGAGGTGTACTAAGTCCCATTTTAAGTAACATCTTCATGGATGACTTTGAACAAAAAGCTATTACAACAGCTGAGGTTAAGCCTAAGTTATGGTTGCGTTACGTGGATGATGTTTTTTGCTTGTGGGAAAGTGGCATTTCAGAGCTTAATAGGTTCAAGGAGCATATAAACAGCATTTGTGATACTATTAAATTCACTATTGAATTTGAAAATTATTGTAAGCTTCCGTTCTTAGATGTAATGGTTGATAGGTCCTCGGACACTTAGCATACCAGTATGTACAAAAAGCCTACGGCAACAGGACAATACTTACATTTTGATTCATACCATCCGGACCACGTAAAATTAGGTTTAATAATTGGGCTTATTAAAAAGGCTAAACTAATCTGTAGTGATGAACAGACTTTTCAGCATGAGGTAGTAACTATTAAAAACCGCTTACTTAACAGTGGGTACCCTAAAAGATTCATAAATAAAGCCTTAAGAAAAATATCCAGCTCTGATACAAGTTTACCACCTAAAGATAACAAACCTCTGGCCACAGGATGCATTCCGTATATTAAAAACCTTTCGGAGAAAATACGGCGCGTGAATGCTAAGCAAGGTATTAGGACGGTCTTTACCTCAAAAAACACGATAAGAAGACATGTATCTAAAGTGAAACCTCCTATAAAGTGGGAGGAAAGCTGTGTATTATACAAGGAGCCTAATTGGAAGAAAAGGAATATTATTGAGGCTTTGTTTATTACTTCAGATCAAGATTCATTAGCCAACGCATCCATTGATATCAGCCCGGTTTACAATACACTAATAGAGAAAGAAATTAAAGGATGCATAGAAAAATCTAAACAAAAGAAGATAATGCCATCAGCTATTCTAGATAACAGAGTCTCCCCTCCCCCTCCTCCACCACCGGGGTCGTCAGTCGTGGTTAGGCGCTCACAACGATTGCGTGAGAAGAGAAATAACCTTGAAAACGCCGCACGTTGATTTTGGTGCGGCGAAACGTCGGTGTTGGGAACTTAAGTCTGAAATTTTTAATTTAGTTTTATTTTTATCTTCTAAATATATAAAAGGCAAAACCCTCACTGACTCACTCACTCACTCATCACTAATTCTCCCACTTCCCATTTACCTAGGAGGTTGAAATTCGGCACACCAATTCTTTGGGCATTAAATAGGAAAACTAAGTAGTTTTTATTGTGATCAGGCTTTCGGGCTCCGCCCCAGTGGCTCTGGAGTTTCCTATGTTAACCTTATGATTTATCATATTTAAAAGGAATTAATGAATCTTAACAGCTGTTTCAATTAAACAAGTTGGTTCTGTTCTATGGCATTAAATTTACAAGGATTACCAACAGGGTGCAGCACTATTACTTTTTTTATATTTAAGACAACAACTAATTTGCATCCAAAAGGTGAGTGAGCGTAGCGAACAAACTTCAACCTGGAGGTGAGTTAGCGTAGCGAACGAGCTAAACCTGAAGGCAAATGAGCGCAGCGAACAAGCTCCAACCTAAAGGTGAGTGAGCGTAGCGAACGAACTTCAACCAGGACGTGATTGAGCCATGCGAATACTTAAGAAGTTAAACGGGGCAAAGCCCGCGGGTACAGCTAGTTTTTGTATATTTTTATGTGCAATGAACTGTGTTGATTGTGATATGACAAGGACTGCGTTCTCGTGATTTCAATAAGGTGAGTGATGCCCAACAAAAAATTATCATACTGAAGTATTGACCTCACCTAATATACCATGTCGTTTAGGAATAGAACCTCTTTTGCGAAGGAGTGACGTCACTCTCGTCTCTTGAGGGAACACCATTATCGCAACGATACGGAGTGCAGCCATCGGAATTCGTGGTGTAGAGGATAGGGTACTCGCCTGATGTCCATGAGGTAGCCAGATCGAATCTCACCAGTGACACTAACATTTTGTCAAAGATTTTGCTTAGAATGCCATTACTTTTTAACTGTACATCTTTTGTTAGAATTTGAAGCATTTATAATTTTATTTTAAGAACATACCGTACAGTTTTTTTTTTGTTTTTTTTGTCCTAGGACGCTAGGCACGAGCCCGGGATCGTTTTTCACATTACTTCAGGCTAGACCTAGGGGTTGCGGCATTATCACTTAGATAAAATCCATTGGTGATTTGGCTGGTTTTGAACCCGGGACCTCAGGCACCGAAGACCCGCGCTCTAACCACTAGACCAGCTCGCTCCCCTGGTAGAACCCCAGTTAACTGAAATAAAGGGGGGAAAGCCATTTCGGATAACCAATTTTTCGGTTAACCCGTCATATGCTAAAGATAGCCTATGTATTACCGCGGTTAGTTGGAAAATGGATTTAAAACAATTTCTAAACAATATTTTATTTTAGCTACAGAAATGCTACAATGGGTTAGAAACAGTGGCCTAACAGCCGACCCATACCCACGGTGCGGGGGCAAGGCTTAGGGGCCCGGGAGGTTGAGATACTCTTTTCTCCTAAAACTGTCCGTAAAACCGATCCTCTGTTCACGGATATTTTTCTCTCCTGACAATTTTTTTTAGAACACAATGTGTATGTAGATACTTTTATTCTGCCAAATCTACTGAAGTTTTATCTTTTAATTAACAAAATTGTTAACAAAACGCCAACGCCCGCCACAATTACCCGACAATGTGTAGGTCTATTGTCTGTGTGATTGTGTTGCTTCTTGCTTCAGGCTAGGAGCTGTGCGCCTGCCGCCTGGGGGAGCCAGCCCCTCCTCCCTCCTGCACTACCCGCTCACCCTCACGTGTAACTCAGCTGACCGTAGATCACCTGATTTTGATAAGAGATCCATGCGGTTGACTCATCAGCAGTGCATTTTTACATTTTAAATGGAACATTTTTAATAGTCGAGGTTATAAATGATTGTCTTAATCATGAGTAATTTTGGTATTCAAACATCAATCAAGTTATTTGTAATTGTAAATTATTATTGTAAGTTAAGCTAATTAAGTCCAGGAAGTTATTAGCAAATAATTATTTTACATTTTAGTTTTGCCCTATAATAATAATTGTGTTTGGTTAAATACAATATTTTGCTACTCTACTGACTTTGTGTGTTAG